CTCTCCATTCTGAGTCAAGCTGTTCTAATACCTTTTTTTGTTTGGGTCTTTGAAGCAGACTGGGATTTTTCTTTGTCCCTGTTTGATGTGTGTGTAGGCGCCTGTGGACAAATGATTTGCTTTGTTTCCTCCCGTCTTTGTTCTTTGTATTTATTTTTGTGGGGGGTTTTTCTAATATTGTTTTAAACTCATGTATTTATATATATTTTTTGTATTCTTTAAAAGAAATGTATCTTCAAGAAAGAACGTGAAGTGTTGGGGTTGAGTGTGATATTCTTCCGTCGTCTGGTGCTGATTAGTGTCTTTCTTCTTTAGAAGAGAACTGAAATTATCGTCACAAGAAAATCGTTGTTGTTTTTTTTTTTTTCATTTTTAAGATCTAAAATTCTCATTTTCACAGTTGATCATGATTTTTTTTATGTTATCAAAATGTATAAAGTGTACAAAAAATATAATAAGATTTAAATTTCTACAGCTGGAGAAAACGTGTCCCTTAATAATTTGGCTTTTTGTTTTATATGCTACTAAAAGTATGTATTTTCTTTATGAAAACAGGCTTTTATTTTTTTTTAAGAAACTTTGTTATTGTACATTAAAGAACTTATTTCATAACGTACTGCATGTCACCCTGTCAAATGTTAAGAAATTATACCGTTGTTGCCAGTTTGGTCAATCCTTAAACATAAAGATTGTACAATCTCCTGACATATGGCGAGATATCACTTCAAGCGTGTGCTGTGGATGACTCTCAGATACTACCACACCAAACTCTAGCTCTGTATCTGTAAAATGAACTGAGTTAAACCGTATTTGTGTTTGCTAAGAGTACATCGCTGTGGTGGCCATCTTGAATCAGATTATCCCTTAAACGTATCAGTTATAGATGTGCATCTAATGATTACTTCAAGTTACAGTAAAATTCAGCAAGTGGTTCATGGGATATTTTGCTAACAGACACAAGTACAAACAATAACTGCCCTTGCCTTTTGGCGGCGGGCGATCAAAAGGACACTTTGTCTTCCTTCCATCTATTATCTTTACCCGCTTCTTCCTTTTTGGGTCGCAGTCACTGGTGTCCATGTCCAGCTATCAGTGTACGAGAGGCGGGGGACACCTGGACAGGTCTCCAGTCCATCACAGGGACACCTGGACAGGTCTCCAGTCCATCACAGGGACACACAGAGACAAACGAGATAAACAACCATTCTCTCTCTCTCTGACCTAGGGATAATTTAGAGTTACCAATCAGCCTAACATGCATGTTTTTGGTCTGTGGGAGGAAACTGGAGTACCCGGAGAAAAGCCATGCATGCACGGAGAGAACATGCAAACTCCACCCAGAAAGGCCCCCGGACCGGGATTTGAACCAGGGACCTGCTCGCTAATAGGTGGCAGCTCTACCAACTGCACCACCGTGCTGCCCATTCTTTGTCTTACCCATTCAAAACAACTATTTTTAGTTTTGGTAGTAACCAAACAGGAATGTATTTCCTGTGGTCAGGTGTCCTCTGTAGAAACACGTTGGCACGCTTTGTAAGTATCAGTAAGTGTCGTCTGTAATCCTAATCTCTGTTGATGTAAAGTGGGTCATAGATTACAGACTGGTACTTCAGTCACTTTGGTCAAGGAGGTGAGAGTAAGAAGTACTTGTTAAGGGGGCCGAGGTGGTGTAGAGGCAGGGCAGCAGACCCGGGACCCCAAAGCCCCAGGTTCAATCCCCAGTCATTGCACATCCCATGGTGTCTCTGAGCAGCACACCTTATCCCCAAGATGCTTTCAATAGCTGCCCACTGCTCCACCTGGTGGTGGATGGGTTAAATGCAGAGATCCAATTTCACCATTGTATGGCAATGAAGACGATATTTTATTTTTATTTATAAGTTATTCATTTTTTTAAAAACAAAACAATATACAATAAGAGATACAATCACAAATAAAATGAAAGGCAGAAGAAAGAAGAAAAACAATCTTATAATCTCTGCCCCTTTTTACCAAAAAAATTAATTCAAACAATAATAATCTTCAAATAACAAAAACAAAATAAACAACTCCTTTTCAAGCGTCAATTCATACAAATACACATTAAGCTATTTCTTCTTTTTTTTTTTTTTAACAAACCAACTTTGATCATTCTCTTAAACATAAACATTGATCTGGCATTTTTAACATCACTCTCCAGATTATTACATAATATAATTCCTTGGATTGAGGTAGACCGTTCCTTCAGACTAGTTCGAAATTTAGCTTTAACAAAACATTTCCATCCCCTTAAGATTATAACAGCTTTTAACAAATTTAATTGGATATTTAAAGGTAATGTATTATTATGAGCGTTATACATAACTGATAAAATATTATAATCTACCAAATCATGACCTTCAATAACTTCAGTTGATAAAATAAAGTACTTGATGGGCGACTGAAATGCTTCCTGGTGATAATTCTTACAGCTCTTTTCTGTAAAACTAAATTAGGATTTATAAATGTTTTACACACTTTCCCCCAAACATCAATACAATAAATTAAGTGTGGAACAATGATTGTGTTATACAACGTGTACAGAGCTTTATCAATCAATAAGTCCCTTACTTTGTACCGTACTGCAATAGATTTAGATATTTTTTTATTCTTATATAATGTATGTGATGTTTCCATGTTAGCTTGTCATCGATGACAACACCCAAAAACTTCACCTCACTAACTCTACAAATCTCTGTAGCAGTCAGGTTTCTCAATGAACACTAATTTCAATACTGTTACTTTAATGTCTTGTGTATTTATATGTATGCATATGTGTATGTGTGTGTATATGTACACATCTACTGACTGTGAAACTAATTGTTCCTCGGGGATAATAAAGATACTTGGACTCAACACCCTCAACTCTAAATGGAACATCTATTACTGAATATCATATAGTTAGTTACAATACATAACACATTATTATTATTATTTACAGGGCAAGATACCGGTAATTGACAAGCATAGCAACAGAACCTCCCACGGACCAGTGTGCTCCTGCTGCGATTGGCTCAGAACATCGAGCAATCAAGAAAATGTCATTTAACATCATAGAGAAAAATCATTTTAAGACGATTAATTTAAGCGTTGAGACAGAAATGGAGTTCCAGATCACCTTCTCGGAGCGATGAGAAACTCATTTCTTGAAGACATCGCCCACCGCCGTGTTTAGCCGTGTAACATGTCAAGAGTTCGTGTTGAGGATGACTCTCAGCTACTCCCACAGCACGTTGCAGCTCAGTATCTGTCAGTCGGACTGCATCGCAGACAGTTTTCTTGTCATATCGATGAGCTGTGTAAACCTCTTGAACTGGCTCAACTCCAAAAGTTAATCCGTCGTTGACGTTTCTGAAAGTTTTATTAAAATCCAGTCAGCCATTTATGGAAAATGTTGCTAACACCGGTGATGCCCGCTAACCTGCGTGTTCCTCTGCTTTACCGCAGCTGATGTGAACGAACGACTGTTTCACGGGATTCTGCAGAACCTGCTGAAAATCATCTAAAGCATACAGCTGCTGCGACGTCGTCGCCCTTGCTCCTTTAGGCGCCGGCGCTAACGACTTTAGCATGAAGACTTTTAAAGAAGACATTGATGAAGTATACGGTCATGCACTGATGCAATATTTAATCTGCTAATAACACAGCGAGTTAAAAGTGGAGAAACAACAGAGTACCCGTCTGTAAATGTTCGAGTCTGCCCTTTTCTTATTAGACACGATCCAGCAGCTCCGTGTCAGCTCAGCTTGTTCGGAGCTAATGCAGCAGAAACAAATGTAACTGGTAATTTAAAAGAAGGCGACGTGCAGTTTCATATTTATCCCATTTGCACCTTTTGACACAAACTCAATAATTTATTTGCTCCGCTCAGACCAGTTATGTAGCATGACGGCGCTCCACGTGCATGTGATCTATTTATAGATTGTATTCGTGAATTTGTTGAGCGAAAAGACAAAATATTTTTAAGTTAGTCGTTTTGGTTGACAAGCCTCGGAAACCTAAAGATCTCTGCTCGGACTTTGAGGCTAAAAGTTGAGAAAAAAAGAGCGTCAATCACAGATAAATGTAACGTCTTAAAGTTAAGATTTAATCTGGTTGTGAGACACTGACGTAAAACTAAACATTAATCATATGACGTCTTTTTGACGTGGTGGTACAGTGGAGCAGTTCGTAGAGCTGCTGCATCGAATCCCAGCCATGGGGCCCGTTTGCATGTTCTCGCCGTGCACGTGTGGGTTTTCTCCCGCAGACCAAAATGGCACCAGTGACCCCCCATAACCCAAAAAGAAACAAGATAATGGATGGAAGTATTTAGAGCAGGCTCCTCGCAGCAGGTCTCATGCTCCAACAGAATTAAAGAGTTTCAGACTTTAACCACTTGAGGTCAGTGTTGCACCTCAGCTGAATTAGGATAACCACGTTTAAAATATGTTCTGTTGCATGCTCAATAATCCAGGTAGATAATCTGACGAGGTTGAGTCTTTTGGATAAAAGACGAAACGTTCCAACAAAGAAGAATCTGTCCAGAGGACCGGACTCAACCTTGTTAGACAATAAGAAATGTTGGGGGGAAATACCTTTTTTGTTTAAAGATGGCACCAGTATGAATAAAACGTTGTCATCCCAACCGTCTAAAGAACTCCAAGTATCCACTCTGACATAAAAGTTACTTACATTTGAGTTCATTACAGAGCTGAAAAAAAATTAACGGATCTGAAAAATCCAAACTGTTTCCTTTCTAAAATTCTTGTATTAAAAAGTTGCAACTTTTGAACTTTGTTAGAAGCTTCCGTTAGAAAAGATTTGAGACACCAGCAGAGAATGTTCCGAGTCTTTCACCCAACGAGCTTTGTGATGTTCTGAGGTAATCTGGGACAGGCTGCCTCATCTCAAATCTCCAATGCTCATGGACTTGAACCGACTATGGATTATTTACCTTTAATCATTGATTATGTATCTAAACTGGTAACTGCTCTGTCCAGAGAACGAGGTTCTGCAGTTTGGGAAGCTGGTGAGCACCTCCAACACCTACGAGCCCACCGCCGCCGGAAACCCCAGGAAGGTCGTAACTGTGATCACGGACCAACCGCTGCTCTGGAGCATGGGCGTCAGGAACAACGGGGACTAAAACGTTGAGCGCGCCAGCATGCTTCGAGTTTTACACACTTATGAAAAGAACGTTCTTAAATTCAGAAATGCTCGAGGTACCTTTTATCCAAATATAACTGATTTTATGCACAGTGCCCGACTGTATTGATGTGTATATAGTGAACAGCACTTTTAAATATAATAAACTTTTGTATCAACAAATTAAAACGAATAAAATTTGCAATAAAAACAAAATCAGTACTTGGCTTTCCATTTGTAATTTTATTTACATGGCAAAATAAAAAAGGTTGAGAACAGAACGTAAAAGTGTCCTTTCAGTTTCCCCCCACACCAGTCCAAAAACACGGTGCGACCGCAGTCTGTGCCGTTCCTTAAATCAGGACTCAACCACCGCTAGAAGACAAAATGTGACAATTGTTAGAAACGCAGCTGAATTGTCATGGTATTCAGAGTAAATGACAAAGCTTATTGTGACTAAACAGCTGAACTTGGCGTTTTCTTCTATTGTAGATACTTTGTCTTATTGTGGTGCATAGTTAAAAAAAAATACAATTATGTTTGTCAAGAAGTCAAAAGCGATGCGACTAAATGACACCGTTCAGATTCTAAATCTTAAACTCCGTCGGTGAATGGATTCCCTGTCTGCAGCAGTACGGCAGGTTTTAAACACACCGCCATGCACAGTGTGGTGCATTTATAAATCTGCAAGAGCTAAACAAGTGAAGTGTTCTTAAAGCCGGTGTCTGGTTGTAAAATCAGCAGGATTCTGATTTATGTACGGACTTATACACAGCACAGTTTTGTACTTACACAATGATGTTGTTGATGGGGATATGGATGAGCTTGACAAAGAACCCGATGAAACCCATGATGGCAAACCCAATTGCTGTAGCCATAGCAATCTTCTGAAACTCTGAAAGAGGACAAACTGTTAGAAACACGGAAAAAACTCATCTGTGTGAGTTCAATGTCACTGGGCAGATCTGAAAAAATGTACCTTTCCTGTCGGGTTTTGTGCATCTTTTTACAAGCCTTATGGAGTCTTTGACAAACTGCCGGCTGGGCTCAACAAACTGCATCACCTGGTCCATCCTGTATGATCTGCAGGCAAAAAAAAATAAAGAGTCAAGATTAAAACCATAAAAATTAGCTTTCAGTGTGTAGAAATGTGTACCGCTTCAATCACTTATCAGTAAACTTTAGTAGATATTCTTATTTAACACATGTTTACTATATTCAAACGTCTCTAATAGTAAAAAATACGCGATATGAAGTCTCTAATAGTAAAAAATACGCGATATGAAGTCGTTAAAATTAATTATTTACCACAACGACAATGGAAAACAACGTAGCGTTAACCAACACAGCCATGCTAAGTAGCATGACTCGTTGTTTAAAACAGATCAATAAGTCAAAAAATATACAAATAACATGTCTAATTTCATAACTGTTAATGTTTTAAAGGCAAAAATACACAACTAACAAAATTCTTGTTATCTACCTGTTTTCACGTCGCACCTCAACAGAAAGCAGTACGAGAAGAAATGGCCACGTAGCTTTTCCACAGCTAGACGGAGGAGAGATGACGTAGACCTACAGTGCGCATGCGTGGTTTGTTTTCCTGTTTCCCTACAGTGCGCATGCGTGGTTGGTTTTCCTGTTTCCAGCTGTCTATGCTGCCACCTACAGGTCAGGAGGTTTTACTACAGGCGATTTTTTTTTTTGTTGGCTACCTAGTTTGTCTTAGTAAATAAATAAAAAATAAATAAAAAAGGTCAGCAAAGTGTCTAAATTAATTCTAAAACAAGTTGTTACAAGAATATTAAATTTAACATTTGCTGAAATGTTATGTATTTTACATTTACACGTGTCGTATTTACAATCTAATTAAGTGTTCAGTAGAGTGCTGTAGCCATTCTAGCTCAAACCACATTCTTGAGGTTATAATTACTCATGTGATTTAGATTAAGATCAGCTGTTTCTTTTTTCTGGCATTTTCCTTCCAGACAAACTAAGATGTATTGGTAGCAGAATATTTCTTATGTTTTAATATGTGTCTGTTTATTAATTTAACCATGAGATTCACAAAATTCAGTCTTCAGTTTTAGGGGCACTAACTAAAACAAAGTGCTTAGTTAGTTTAATTTTTTTATATATATATATATTTGCATGAAGTCATGTCACATTCTGTTTTAATTTATCCGGGAGAGCCAACAGAACATACAGTATAATTCACCAAAATCTGTGAAACAGCTCAGTATTACATCCGTTAGATTTATTTTTCTCATAATAATACAGCCAGCTCTAAAAAGAGCAGAGATGTGATCAATGCAAGATTTTCAACGTGCACTCTCTTTGTATTCAGAAGTAGAATTTTAAACAGAGCCACCTAATATTATCTGCAGTCTCTCTCTAAGTGCATTAAATAACCAAGCTTTAAGTTTTGACTCTTGTTTTAATATGTAGGAACACAAACTCAAGTCCAGTTAGTAATAGCTGCACAAATCCAAAGTCAAACTGAACAACTTTAAGGTCTACATGAAGAACTGAGAATATAAAACGAAACTCCTTGCTGTTGTCACAGGGCTGCAGGTAGGTTTAGAAACTCCTTTAAAATTCGCATTTTCATTCTCAGCATCTGGAAGCTACTTTATTTACCCATGCTTTGAAATGTTGGTTTTGTTTTTATGACAAACAGGAACTACAACCAGTAATATGGCGCTCCAAGGAGGAAAAGCATCGTCGGGTGAAATATGCAATGACATTGAAGTTGCGAAATTAAAATATGTGACATATTCCAAATGTTTTAACTCCTCAGTTCATTTTGAGCCGAAACAAGACCATGCTGGTTTAGCTTATTTTTATGACGAAGAATCATCTGCTGGTTTTAGAGACGAAACCAACTAGAAAACAAAAACATGCCATTTTCACGAAGAACATTTACAGTTAAAAATATGAAACAGTGACATTTCCAAACAATACATTTTACATTACAACGTCTTTAATATTGTTTGGTTTCAACAAATGATTTGTCCTTGAATGGAAAAATGAGTAGTTTGGGATTTTAATTCATGCAGGCTTATAATTAAAAAAAAAAAAAAAACACCATGAGACTCATTGGTGGAGGTATAAAAGAGCAAACTGGTGCTTTTGAAAGGTGATGTTCCCACAGTCGGCCCAGTCTCTGTCACTGTGCAGGCGGTTTGCTGCTCCTCACTGCCAGCTGATGCCAAGCATGTTGCAGCTGACCTCCCACAGCTTCTGGGCCAAGTCATGATCTGCAGCCGACCTGGAGCACCTCGCCGGAGCACAGTCGCTGAACACAAACAGTGACAGGAAGTGCTCGCTACATGCAATGCAATAGTTCTGTTGTGTCACCATTACATAGTTAACTGGAGAAAATGCATTTCCTGTGGAAATGCAGTGTGAATGATTATTGCTGCAGAACTCGATAAAAAAAAACAGCTGAAATTAACTAAATGTTTAGCTGACATGTAGAACATGTCACAGTTAGCAGAAGAAAGAACACACATTTGCAGAATTAGATTTAAATGAGCAGAAACAAGCACACAAATTGGAAAATTAGCTTAAAAAGCTGTAATTAGCTAAATAAAATAAAATAAAAAACAACTGAAAAGGCAAAGAATCTTAAACTAAAGAAGGAAAGAACTGAAATTAACTCAAATAAATGCAGAAAAGCTAAATTCAGCACAAAAACAGCTACCGGTAAATAGTAGCTGAAATAGAAGAAAACGCTGAAACTAGATAAGCTGAAAGGAGCAGAAATTAACACAGTCAACTTGAATTAATCTAAAAACAAATTAAATTAGCCAAAAATGCTAAAAAGCTATAGCTGAAAAGAGCAAGCTTAAATTAGCAGAAGAAAGCAGAAAGAACATGTTTGCCCAATTATCCTGAAAAAAAACAGAAAAGTGCTGAAATGAGCAAAAACAGGTAAATAGTAGCTGAAACAGCAGAAAAAAACTTAAATTACCAGAAGGAAGTGGAGAGAGCACATTTTTGCTGCATTAGACTCAAAAAAAGTTTAAATGAGTGCAAGAAAATGTGGAAGTAGCTGAAAACGCTAAAATTAGCACAAAAAAGCTAAATAGTAGCTGAAATAGCAGAAATAGCTAAAACTTATAGAAATGAGCTAAAGGGAGAATAACAAGCTGAAATTAGCTGCAAGAAGTTAGAAGAAGCACAAAACTATTGTACTTAGCAGAATAAAGCCGAAAGAAGCTCAAAACAGCTAAAAAAAAAAAAAAAAAAACAGCTGAAAAATTATCTGAAAGTAGCTGATTTTTTTCTTTTAATTTGCAGAAGGAAGCTGAAAGAAGCTGAAGCAGAACAAACTGAAAGGAGCAGTAAAAGGTTGTAAACAGATCTGAAGGATTTGAAGGATGTAAAATGAGCTCAATTCATTTTCTCTGAGGAAAAAAATGTCAGAAAAGACTAAATATTTCAAAAAGCTAAAGTTGCATCAATATCAAAAGTCAGAGCACCCTTCTCCTGAAAGAACTGAACGTTTTGGTTTATGACTTGTTGAAATAGCACAAAAAATGTGGGATGAGAAAAATGCTGAAAACATACGGAAGAAAAATGGACGACAGAGTGAACACCATACAACAAACTTGACGCTTTGTTGCTTCGCTGATAGAAGCTCTGAGCAGCATGAGGCGGGTGCCTGCTGGCGAATAGTCACCTGAAGTAGCCCCCACTCATCGTCTCCAGACCAGGCTCCACAGCACAGAAGATGGTGGTCTGAGCTCCCTCCACTGTGGTCTTTGTAAAGATTCTGAAAATCTTCACCGCTACCTGGATGCACTGATGCTGGTGCCTCCACAGGTCGGACTGTACCACCCCAGGGTGCAGGGAAAAAACACTCACCCCCGAACCTGCAACACACGGACCCCAGTCACCAAGAAAAGCACAGCGGACACGTTGGACTTGTTAGAAATTAACGTTGGTATAATTCTGACTGCTTTTAGTTCCAGCACCTCCAATAATAGAGTGAACTCTTTCAAACTGCACCATTTCATGTTTGTCTTCAGAAATGTGTGGGATTTTTCAAATTCACCTTGTAACCGCTCGGCAAGCGAGCGTGCAAACAGGACGTTGGCCAGTTTGCTCTGTCCGTAGGCCTTCATGGCGTCGTAGCCCAGTTCGCTGTTGATGTCGTCCAGCCGAAGCCCGGTCCAGGTGTGGGCCACCGACGCCACGACAACAACACGAGCCGGCGCTGAACGCTTGATGAGGTCGAGCAGCAGGAAGGTCAGGAGGACGTGACCTGAGGAAAGACAGGAAATGCACACTTTAATGATTTTGTAGCTTAAATATTAAGTTAATCAAATTAAGTTGCTCAAATTATTCACTTGTTATGATTTTCTTGCACAAGCTCATTAACTTACACATCCAATGCACTGAACTTTGCTTCTCAAACAAGATTTAAAAAAAGAACGATCTGTGAAAATGCACCCACAGTAGGTGGAATCTCCACAGTTCTGTATTTTATATGATTTAAGCTAAATAGAAACCAGTGTGTGCTGGAAGCTAAAAGTTTAGCTAATTGAGGAGAAATATTTAGAAACAAATGTACAGCACAAAGGAAACTGCAAAAAAAAAAAGTGCTAAAAAGTTTGTAAATGTGTTGTTTTGGAAGGATTCATCAACCTGTGTGTTTGTGGGCAGGGCAGAGTTCACACCAACAGACTGTGACAAAATAATATCGATTGCTGCGTGGCACAGTTTTCATTCATTCAACCTTTATCTAGACAGGTTAGTCCCATTGAGCCTCGAGGACTCATTTACAAGAGAGACCTGATTTTAACAAAGAGTGATGACAACAGTGGACAATCATTAAAGAAAGCAAATAAAATACCAAAGAATTAAAGTTAGACAGGATCCATTTCTGAAAAAGAAACGCAGTTTAACTTTCAGTTTCCTTACTAAGTTTTCCACGTGGAGCTTAAAGGAGAGATGCGAGTCGACCAAGACACTCAAATATTTATAGGAATCAACAAACTCAATGGGGACATCATTCAAAGATAAAATAGGAAGAACTGCTGGGACCAACTTCTGTTTGAAAACAGCATCCCTTTGGTTTTGTTGGCATTCAAGACAAGTTTGAGCTGGAACAAATCAGACTGGATGATGTTAAATGCAGATTGCAAAAGCTGGAATACCTTATCAACAGTTTTAGCTCGACAATAAACAACTGTGTCATCAGCATAGAAATGTATGGATGCATCAGGGATGCTCTGACCTACATTTCTTATGTAGATTGTAAAGAGGGTGGGTCCTAAAACTGAGCCTTGTGGTACACCATTGTTAACAGATTACTGGAAGAAGTAACATTATGTTGAACACATAGCCTCCAATCTGAGAGATAGAACCAACCAAGATATTGTCCAATAAAGAAAAAAAAAAAAAACGCAGCTAGAAGAAATAGTTGCACACATGGCTTCACACAGAGTTTGTGTTAAACACATTAATTCAACTAAATCAACCGGAAAAAGAAATCACAGAAGTTTAAATGTTAGTCAAAACGTACAAAAAGGACAACATTCAGTCCACCTTACCCAAATGGTTGACTCCTAGCTGCATTTCAAACCCATCAAGTGTCTTAGAGTGGGGGCACATCATGATCCCTGCGTTGTTTATCAGGATATTCACCTGTTTCTCCTCTGAAAAGTAGATGCAGCTCTGCATGAGTCAGGAGGAAGATTATGAATAAAAAGCAGAGGTGGAGCTGGTGACGTCATGCGAACCTCTTAAACTTTAAAGCTGAGTGTCCTGAGCCAAAACTAACCCCTTCATGAACTCCATCTGCTTACCTCTGTTTATGAGGTCAGCAAAGGCCCTAATGGACTTGGTGTCAGATAGATCCAGTTTCCTGATGACCACATTCTCATTTCCTGTGTCCTCCAGGATGTCATCCCGGGCCTCCTCTGCCCGCTCCAGGTCTCTGCACGCCATGATGATGCGAGCACCTAAAACGTCAAGAAGATGATGAAATACTGCAACATCTTCTTCCCAACATACCTGAAGCTGTGCATTTACTCTGGGAGCATGTTTTTATGTGCTCATCCTGCACCTGTTCCACTTGTTTGGCTCTTGATTTGACTCAGACTTTTAATTTGGATCTGTATGTGACATTACGCAGCTCATGACAGCCGTGTCACTACAAAAATCAGAACTAGAGAAAACGCATTTCCTGCAGAAATGCAATGTGAATGCTTATTGCAGAAGAATTACAAAAAAAACTGCTGAAATTAACTCAAAACAAGCTGAAATGTAGCTGGAATGGAAGAACAAGCTTAGCAGAAGAAAGCAGAAATAACACATATTTGCTGAATTAGGTTTAAATAAGCAGAAATTAGCACAAACATTAAGAAATTAGCTAAAATAAAATAAAAATGCAATGAGCAAAAGATAGCTGAAAAGGCAGAAAGAAATTTAAACTACCAAAAGAAAGTGAACAGAGTTGAAAGGAGCTCCAAAAATGTGGATTAGATGAAAAATCTTAATTTAGTTTTAAAAAACAGCTAAATAGCTGAAATTAGCAGAAATAAACTGAAAGGAGTACAACAAGCTGAAATTAGCAGAAATAAGTTAATTAAGCTAAAAGTAGCAGAAATGACCATGGAAAACTTGACTTTATCTGAAAACTGCTTAAATTAGTTTAAAATGCTAAAAAGGTAGCTGAAAAAGTAGAACAAGCTTAAATTAGCAAAAGAGAGCAAAAAGAACACACATTTGCTGAAAGAAGCAGAAATGAGCACAAAGTGGAAATTATCTGGGGGGAAAAACAACAACAGCAAAAAGAACAGCTGAAAAGTAGCTTTAAAAAAGGCAGAAAGATGCTTAAATTATCAGAAGAGGGCACATTTGCTGGAAAAATGTTGAAATGAGTGCAAAAAATGTGGAATTAGCCAAAAAAAGCTCAAATTAGCATAAAACAACTAAATAGTAGCTGAAATAGCAGAAAAAGATGAAACTTGCATAATTAAGCTGAAAGGAGCATAACTAGCTGAAATTAGATTAAATAAGTTAGAAGAAGCACAAAAATGTTGTAGTTAGCAGAAAGAGTCTAAAAGGAGCACAAAACAGCTGAAAAACAGCTGAATTTAGTAGAAATTATCTGAAAAAAAGTTTGAATTTGCAGAAGGAAGCTGAAAACAGCTGAAGCAGATCAAAATGTGAAAGGATCAGTAAAAGGTTGTAAACATATCTAAAGATCTGAAGGATGGAAAATGAGCTCAATTCATTTTATATGAGAAAAGGCTAAATATTTCAAAAAGCTAAAGTTGCACCAATACCAAAAGTCATAGCAGGATTGTTTTGAACGAGCCGAACGTTTTGAGACATGATTTGTTGAAATAGATGAAAACTGTGAAAGATGCTGAAAACGTACAGAAGAAAACTGAATCTCAGCAGAGTGAGTCATGAACGTTCGCACTACGAGCTTCAAAACGACGCTGGTTTTGTTCATTTGCATGTGAACCAAACCATTATGGTCCTGAGAGCAATGAAGGCCCCAAACGTCTGAAGGTTCTCTCATGGTCCCTGAGCTCAGGAGCTCATTTAACTGGCTGCTCCCCTCACATGAGCCCATCTCTGCTGTTCTCTGACACAAACGATGGCACAGCCTCCTCAATGATCACAGAAAGGGGGTTTTCAGGACACATTCTCTTTCCATCACCCAAATACAGATTTCCCTGCACGCCCAGACAAACACTCCAATATAAAAAGTCTGCTCATCTCCCAAAAGCACGAAACTCTCAAGTAAACCCACACAGATGTTTGAAATGAAGCCGTTAATCAGCTGGAGCATGTGCGCGCCGTCGCTGATGCTCCGTTCTGCTCTCGTGAAACAACAGAGAAACAAACGTGAAAAATAACAGCGCTGAGTCATGCTAAATACAGCACATCATATGACTGATCAATCACATTATCGGTGATTAGTGAGCACGTCTGTGTCACGTTTTGCTCCGTCAGCGTCCAAATGACCAAAACACGAGCGAGGGGTCCAACAAAGACCGTCGAGGATTTGATGCAGTTTGATTTCCCCCGGTGCTGCAGGAGGCAGCTGCCTGTTATGAATCTGAGCTGATCTAATCAAGTTGTCATGATGTCATTACTTAACCCCGTTTACTGATCGATGATGTCATCGTTAGTCCTGTCTGCTTCACCCTGGAGGTGCTCGTTCTGTTCTCATCTTTCACGTCGGCCTCCAACTCTGCAGCTTTTTAGCTGCAAACACAAGATCATGAGCAGCACCATCTGTTAAACTGATTTCTACTTTCCCTCTCACATACAGAGCTAAGTGCTTCGTCTTTGTAAAGCATGATAGCTTCCAAACGTTTCAGCGTGCGTAATTTAAAAAAATGAAGTTTATTTATGCCGTGCTTTAAACAAATAGATACATTTAAATTTAAACAATGCGTTTTCTGTGAAACTGCAGTGAGAACGCTGAGCTGAGTGCATTTTCAAGAAGCTGAAACTGAGCTGTTAAAGATAAATGTGGCAAAACATGAACAAAAAGCTAAAAGTAGCTAAATGTTAGCTTGAAGATAAAAGTAGAAAAATAGAAGCTAAAAACAACAACAACAAATGTTTCCTGGATTAGAGTCCAAAGTGAAAAAGTTTTTGAAGAAATTAAAGAGATCTCAATGGACTTTAAAAGGAAAACATATTTGTAAACAAGATGAATTGCACTTCCTGCGAAATTCAGTGTGAATGCTTGTTGCTGAAGAACTTGCTGAAAAACAGCTGAAATTAGCTAAAAACATGCTGAAATGTAGCTGAAATGGTTGAACAAGTCAAAGTTAGCAGAAGAAAGAACATATTTGCAAAAATTGATTTAAATAAGCAGAAACAAGCATAAAAATAGGAAATTAGCTTTAAAAAGCTGTAGTTAGCAAAAAAAAAAAAAAAATAAAAAGCTGAAAAGTAGCTGAAAGGGCAAAGAATCTTAAACTACCAGAACGAAGTGGAAGGAGCTGAAATGAGCTAAAATAAACAAGTAACTGATGAAAAAGGCTACATTTAGAATAAAAACAACTAAGTAGTAGCTGAAATAGAAGAAAAAGCTGAAACTAGATAAGCTGAAAGGAACATAAGCTGAAATGAGCAGAAATAAGTTAATTAGGCTGAAAGTAGCAGAAATTACCATATTAAACTTGATTTTTTCTAAAAACAGCTGAAATTAGCCAAAAATGCTAAGAGCATCTCAAGCTAAAATTAGCAAAAGAAAGCAGAAAGAACATGTTTGCTGAAAGAAGCAGAAATGAGCAGAAAAAAATGGAAATTGTTTGAATAATGCTGAAATTAGGAAAAAAAAAAAAAGCTAAATAGTAGCTAACAAAAGTTAGCAAATTACCAGAAGGAAGTGGAGAGAGCACATTTTTGCTGAATTAGGCAGAAAAAAGTTGAAAAGGATGCAAAAAAAAAATGTAGAATTAGCTGAAAAAGCTCAGATTAGCATAAAAGCAGTGAAATACTAGCTGAAATAGCAGAAATAGCTTAAACATACATAAATAAGCTGAAATGAGCGTAAAAATCTGAAACTAGCAGAAAAAAGTTGGAAGTAAGATTTTGAATTCTATTCTGGATTTGACAGGGAGCCAATGGAGAGAAACTAAAACTGGAGAAAGATGATCTCTCCCAGTAACTCCAGTTAAGACTCTGGCAGCAGCATTTTGGATCAACTGAAGACTTTTTAAAGAAGTATTTGGACACCCAGATAATAAACCATTGCAATAGTCCAGTCTAGACGTGACAAATGCATGGACCAGTTTTTCTGCATCATCTTTAGATCAGATGTTTCTAATGTTAGTGATATTACGCAGGTGGAAGAAGGAGGTTCTAGTAACGTTTTTAATGTGGGGGATAAAAGACATGTCCTGATCAAAAGTAACACCAAGATTTTTAACATTAGAGCTGGAGGACAGATTAATGCATCTAAGGAGGGAGAAAGACTGAAACATTCATTCCTAAGGTGCTCAGGTCCAAAAATCAAAACCTCAGTCTTGTCTGTTCAACAGGAGAAAGTTGAGGGTCATCCAGGTTTTTATGTCTTTAAGAGAATTGTTTGGTTACTGTTCTATTTTATTTTATTTTATTTTTTCAGAAAAAAACTTTAATTATAATAAAGTATTTTTATGTACTTATAAACTTTGCCTAATTCTATCCTGGGTTTTAACTAATAAATGATCCAAAGTAAAAAAATTAAAAAAAAATCACAAAACACTTAAACGTCATCAAATTCACCGTAATTATTTTAAAGTATCGTATCGGTATACGTTTAGGCGATGCTCACGCATGGCTCCCAAAACGGCAAGGCAGCCATATTTGTTCCGCAAAAACGTATGTTTTCTAGGGCCCCCTGGCATTGCCCCGGGCCCCCCCAGGGGGGCGCGCCCCTCTATTTGAGAAGGACTGGATTAGCAGCAGAGATTAGCTCCCAGTCGGGGGAAGTCCTTAAATCCAGGATAAAGGAGCGGAATGCTGCGTGAGTCACAAGTTGGAAGTTCATAAAAACTTCACAAAAAAAAAAAAAACCCATGTGAACAACAAGGTGAGATCCTGCCGGACTCACAGCTGGACCGTACCTCTCCTCGCCAGGTCCCTGGCTGTTTCTTTACCAATCCCAGTGTTGGCTCCTGTGATGATGACGGTTCTCCCATCCAACCTCTCCTCAGAGGACCAGTGCTTACAGCACCCCACCCTGAACAACAGATACGTTAAAATAAACAGGAAGACAGATGTGAATAACGTAAAGCTTCCATTCATTATAATACATGCAATCTCATATGTTGTTTCGAGTTGTTATGCTCAGAATATGTGTTTTGTAAGACTCCCAGCTACTACCACATCAATTTTACCTCAATATCTGTAGAAATTATTGATTTATAGCTATTATAGTGCGACTAATGTCACTTAGCTGTTGTGGCCATCTTGAAGTGGATTGACTCCAAAAGTTCATGAGTTGTAAAAACGCATGTAATGATAAATTCCTGAAAGTTGCATTAAAAATGGTCCAGCGGTTCATGAGATATTTAGCTAACAGACAAACGAGGCTGACTCCAACAGTTAATGCTAAAGATTTGAGCAGAAATCTTGACCAATGAGCAACATGAAAAGTGCGTTTCGTGAAAACATCTCAGCTAAATCCACAAAAAAATGTAGCTCAGAATCTGGAAAACTAGCTGAATTAAAGTCACCTTTTTAATAAATCAGCTGGTTGTGATGGCCATCTTCAAACTGGTTGACCCCAACAATTAATCAGATGTAGCCACAAATCTAGTAATTAATTCCTGAAAATGTCATTAAAATATGTCCAGTAGTTTGTGAAATATTTTGCTAACAGACAGGAACAGTCACACACCTCCACATAACTCTTTGATAAACAACTGTTCAGTTATGTTACACCACATTATTTGAGTGTTCCTTGCCTAGATTATAATCTAGTTTTAAAATAGTTTAAACACAATACAGTTTTGATTATTTACAAAATTGCACAGATCAGCAACAAGTCTAACAGCAGTTTGTCCTTCGTCCCGTTGCGCTTGCAGAAAGGTCGTTCTCCTACCTGCAGTTCATGATCCCCGCAGGAGAGCAAACCTCCATCTTCAGGACAGGTGAGCAGGACACAAAGCGCTCGGCTCCTTCAGCGTTCTCTGAATTGTTCACTTGTTTCTTTCGTCACCTCTCCCTCGCCCGCCTGCTGCAAGTGTTTCACATCTCGTGACCGGACCAATCAGGAGCGAGCTGACGCCTGGCTGATTCACAACTTGCAGGCTGAGAAAGCTGCAGACAATGAGGCCTTGTGCAGCTTTCATTTGGTGCAATTTATTTTATATTCTTTAGCCTAGCAGCGTCTAACGTCTTTAGAAAGTTTGGAAAATCAGGATCCTCTGACGCACAAACTTTTATCCTGATAAAATCATTAATCGTGATACTGAATATCACGAAGCAACGGTGACGTATAAATTAAATTAAAGATGGCTGCCTGAGCTACACCTCACAACTTGCGTTAAAATTCAGAGTTTGTGTTGAGAATGACTGTCAGCTACTACCACACTAAATCTCAGCTGCATATCTGTAACACAGACGGAGTTCCAGCCATTTTTATATTGGCTAGTGTTGACTAGCCGTGACGGCCATCTTGAATTGGAGTGACTTCAAAGATTTATCAGCTACAGATGAATATCTACTGATTATTTTTTGAGAGTTTTAACAAAATCTGTCAAGTGGTGAAGGGGATATTTTGCTAACAGACAAACATGATTGACGTCAATGTTTGAAATGTTTTTTGAGTAAAAGTTTCTAACGGATGGAGCAAAACTGCTCTTTTTGTTCAGGTGAACAGAACTCTTAAAAAATGTATTACCATTTAAGAAGCCACCAGATGTGATCAGTTTGAGCAACAAGGTGCAAAGTAAAAACAGATGTGTAAAAAATGCATCAAAGCATGAAAACATCTGGGAAAAAAGAAAATCAAGGACAATAAAATGATAAAAACTGTCCAGAAATGTGTTAAAAGTTACACGAAAGAGAATTAAAACACCCAGGAAACTAATTTAAGACTACAAACATTAAACAAAGAGATCAAATTAAAATCATGCACACAAAAAAAAAAAAACCACCACTTAAACGCACAGAAACTACTGTTGAGGTTTTTATTGGAAGCAGCAATCATCACTGTTTTCAGCTTCAATCGAACCATGACAGGGATTTTATTTCCGGCACGCTTTTCCATCCAGATTCAACAAAACTTGGAATCTTCCCGCATCGTTTGAATGAACTAGAAAGTTCCTGGAGAAACTTTAACGGGGTGGCAGCCATTTATAATGTTTAAATTTGACAGCGGTATGTGTTGGGGTTCGCTCTCAGCTACCACCACACCGAATTTCAGCTCAGTACGGCAAAGAATTAACGAGTTATAGTCATTTTTATTGGGGACAGCCTTGAATGGCAGCCACCTATTATTATCCACCTGACAAGGGTTTATTAACTTTATATCTTACTCTTCCATCAACTTTAATGCACCGTGTACCCCACAAATCTTATATCAAAACGACTGACTCAACGCCATGATGTGTGCAATTACTTTTATTGGCATTTCGAGTTACCATGGGGACGTAATTCGCAAACAAAGATGCCATTTTTCTAATTCAAAACATCTGACAGACAGGCAGTCCCCATCTAAGTTTCTCCAGGACCTTAAGCTATGGTTGCCATCTTGGATTTTTGATTTGGATTCAGTGTATGATCGGTGATGTGATCACCAAATTTCAGCTCTGCATGTGTAAACAATAGCCGAGTTAAATTTAGCTTTTGTGGCCATCTTGAATGTTTTATTTGAATTCAGGATTTACTGGGCACTGCTCTGAGCTACCACCAGCTCAAAATCTTTTACAATAGCCGAGTTATTTGTTTGCAGATTATGTTGCCATGGGAACTCGAAATGCCGATCAAACAGCACACATCAAGGCGTCGAGCCGGTCGTTATGATATAAAAATTTGAGGGGGTACACATTGCGGATCAGACGCATTAAAGTTAGTAGAAGAGCAAGACCCTTTTCAGGTGGGTAATAATAAGTTTCCTTTCCAGGAAGTCCCCAGTTATTGTGGCTGCACAGCTGTGGGAGAGATGTTCACCTCCAGCGGATGCCCAGCAGGTGGCAGCTCACAGCCCACAGCTTTAAGGCAGTGCCATCATCCTCACCTGCCCTGCAGCTTCCTGCTGCAGCACATTTCCTGCAGAGAAAGAGGGGACTGAAACTGTGCACATTTAGTTGTACACTCTGGAAAATCCTATTGTAGTCACCAACAGTAATGATGCTTTGCAGCTCAAACTGACCTGTAGTGTCCACCAGTGAGCATCTGGCTCTCAGGAGTGACGGTGCAGTAGATGGTGGTGCTCGCGCCCTCTGCTGGGGTCCTCAGCAGGAAACTGAAGATGTCCTTTATGTCCACCAGAGACGGTCTGATGTGCCTTGTGATTTCAGTGTTCACAAGGCCAGGATCCACTGAGAAGGCCATCACACCATGCACTGGAGGGAAATGGAAAAGATTTTGTTTTTGATGCCTTATCTTCACAACTTTTATGATTTAGAACCACAAGATTAACTGGTTAGAAATAAACTTTCACAGATGAGTGCGCTCCATGTAAAAGTTACTGCCTTGCACCACTGGTTGCAGAGGTACAGCCCATAATTTCTTCCTGAGAGTTCCAGTTTTTGTTTTTCTTGAGATATTTTAATCAGGGTTAAATTCAATGGTTAAGGATTTTAAGCCAAAATATCACACCGTTACGCTCAAAGTGAGATTATTTCAGACAGCTAGCTGTTCGGGGAAAGGTTTCTGTTTGCTGCCCGGAGCAGTTGTTCAAGCACGAGACTCTCACATGGGCAAGAAATGCAATGCCATTATTTTATCTGCAATTTAAGAGACAGAACCGAACGATCCTCACAGTCCAACATCAAGCCTGCTGTCTGTGTCTGAGCCACACGCCCTACCCTCGATCCTTTTGGCCAGCTCTCTGGTGAACAGCACGTTGGCGAGCTTGCTCTGAGCGTAAGCTCTGACAGGGTGGTAACTTCTCTCCCCGTTCAGATCATCAAACTGGATCTTGCCCATGGCGTGAGCCAACGACGACACGTTGATGACTCGGGATGGAGCCGAGTGCTTCAGCAAGTCCAGCAGCAAGAAAGTCAAAAAGAACGGACCTGAAGAGGCAGAAATGGAGCCAAAAATGCTACGTATGAAACAACAACACAAGCGTAGAGAATGTATACCTTAAATACAACATGTACCTAAGTGATTGACTCCAAACTGTGTCTCGTATCCATCCACTGTTTTAGCATAAGGACAAATAGCCACGCCTGCGTTGTTGATCAGATAATGAAGAGCCTTTTCAGCTGGAAAAGCAGAAATTGTTCTGTGCAGTGTGTTTTTGACAGTATTTTGGATACATGTGTGTGCATGCACTGACACCCACTGTTGTAGATGCTCTCAGCAAACAGGCAGATCGATTTAGTGTCAGCCAGATCCAGCTGCCTGGCGACAACATTGGCTCCATTTACCTCCTTCGTGATATCCGAAACAGCTTGTTCTCCTTTCATCATGTCTCTGCACGCCAAAATCACCCGGGCACCTATAAAAGAGGAATCAATCGACTCTGAACGTACTCGCAAGCCAAATCTGAACCAGGAAGGCGTCTTGAAGAAAGAACCTGGTAATCACCTAAATTTCAACACAGCTATGCTGAGAAACCAAACACAGGTGAAAATGTATTACTGTGTTTTTTGGCCTATAAGTCACAGTTTTTTGCATAATTTGCATGTCCTGCAACTTATACGCTGAAGCAACGCATTTTTATATTTTTTTCCATATTTATAATCCAATTTTTGGCTGAGATATGATCGTTCCATTCATTCTGACATGGAAAATATTGAACACTACCATTTTCAGCCACTAGATGGCAGTCAAGTAGTATGGCATGCCCTTGTATCATGTAACAGGTAAAAGCAGCTATTAATGACACAATCGGCTTGCCATAGCCTTCCACCGTCGTCCAGCTCGCCTGGAGCCACCGTCAAATCAGCTTCATTCCACTGCACCGCCCCGGTGAAATGAAGCTAATTTGACCATTGAAGTGCATTTATTAAGTAAAAGTTCAACTGAAACACACCTTTGCTATAATGTCGAGCAAACAAATAATTGTTTTTAATTGTTAATCTTGTTAAATTCTCGTTAAAGTCCTCCCGTGCACATTCCCACAGCCGCCATTTGGCAGCCAATCGATTTTTGGCATAACACCGACCCACGTTTCCAGGTTGTCAGCGGTGACGCGTAACAAACACGACGCGTCAGCGGTGACTCGTAATAGATGCGACTTATACAGTGAAGCGACTTATTTATGGATTTTTCCACTTGATTAGACATATTTAGACTGACGCGACTTATAGGGCGGTGCGACGTGTACGGCGGAAAATACAGTAATTTGTTCGACTTAAAACATGTGAGTGTTTTCTTGCCTCTTGATGCAAGGTCTTTAGCTGTTGCTTTGCCTATCCCGGTGTTGGCGCCCGTCACAACTGCCGTCTTTCCCTCCAGACGCACATCTGACGAGCACTTTGGGGTGAACAAAGACCTGAAGAATTGAAGAGACTTGAACCATTTACTTGAAAATAAACTGAAATGTCTAGAAATAAATGCAAGCTCTTACCTGACAGTTTGCATCTCTACTGGTGACCAACGATGACAAAATCCAGTGATCTAGCAGAGAACGAAACAGAACTGAGAGGGAGAAGACTGTTTCCCTTTTATCGTTGACCAGGACACTATTTGGTACAAACAGCCTTCTGTTCAAATTCAGTTATTGGAGATAATCAATTAAAGCTAAAGTTCTGAGTGGAGTTCTGACGGGCTGTCACATGGCAAGCAGTTTTAACGGGTATTAAAACTACAAGCAGAGAAGCCTTTTCCTGTTTACTTCTATTTGGACCATTCTTGTTGAACAAGTGAAGGCTCAACAAACTAAATGTTTTCTGTGATGTATTTATTTTTTAGACTTTTCTGACATCTACCACTATCCCAAACTACTTTACCGGGAGTTTATCCTATATAAAAACAGTAGTACTTAACTGTGAAGTGGATGGAAATCGATACTTAGCTTTTATAAAAATTTTCCAATAAAAATCTGGAAAGTTTTGGTGAGTGTTTGTGTTCTCTCTCCTATTAACTCTGACAATCCAGTCCTACTGTGTTTTTATTTCATCTCAATATAGACAGAGCCGTTCTGGGAAAGCCTCGGAGGTTTGTCACAGAACATTAGTTAGAAACAGTATCATGAAGACCAAGGAACACAGCAGACAGGTCAGGGATAAAGTTGTTGATAAGTTTGGGTTAGGTTAAAAAAGAAGCTTTGGATATCTCACAACTGCAAACCTACCAAGTCATGGATGTTCACCTAAACTGACCACTCAGGTGTCCACTGGACAATCAATAGAGCTGCACTGATCTTATCTTTATAGACGACTGGTAAGAATAAACCACGGGTCCTGTTTTTAGTTTGCTGTGTATGGGATACAGCAAACATGCCAAGGAGGGTGTTCTGCTCAGATCAGACCAAAGACTGACTTTTTGGCCTAAATGCAAAAAAAACTGTGTGGTTAACAATCCAGAAACCATCTTATCACCATCAAAGTGGTTGTGTGCTGCTTGTGGGATTGTGGTTGTTGTGGCTCCTCTGACTGATGAAGTCCTTTGGATGAAAGACGAAACATTTCAACACTTACATAAGACTTAACTTTGTTGGACTTTTTACCTGGATTATTAAGCATGAACTTTGGTATGTGTGGTTAAAATACTTGGAACACAACATCCCTAAACTGAAACACGGTGGTGGCAGCATCATGCTGTGGGGATGCTCGTCTTCATTAGGGACAGGGAAGCTAGTCTTCCATCCAGAGCTACATTTGAAGGGATTAGATCAAAAGCATATTTACATGGAAGAAAGCACTTAATTTTAAAACTACTTTTCTATTACTTGTAAACGATGAGAGTAAAAATATGTCCTTTAGTTTCAGAAGTGTTATGATAACTGAAGCATCTTAGTGTAGCAGATGATACATCAAGATGTTTCATCTACCGTTTTGAGATTTATTCAAAAGCAGTGTTCTGTATCTCCTGAAACAGATATGACCTCAAACATAATAAATATATTTCAGAGGTAACCAGAAACTCCAACTGGTATCCAGTCTTACCTGTCAAGGTCTTCTGCAAGCGAGCTATGAGACTCAGCACCTGTTTCCGCAGGCGAGATGACTGTAATTCTAGCCATGCATTAGTGTGGATTTTTGGTGCTTTCCGAGGGCCACTCTATCACTTGTTCTGAAGATCAGCCTGTTGTTCTTTTTGGTGATTGGACCGACAAAAAAGTGTTAAATCAGTCCTGAAATGTGTAACACTATGAGGAATAAACCCAGACCATTACTCACAAGTGGGCTTCCCCACCATCAGGCTATCTTCAGCTCATTTGAGAATATAATAGGAGTAATAATAATAATAATAAAAGGTTAACTCGTGTCATCTGGACCAGTTTCTTTAAGTGAGAAATGTTTCATCCCCCATCCAAAGGACTTCCTCAGTCTACAGCCTGCCAACCAGATCCAACCCATATGTATCCTTCACTGCTGTGTTTCAAGCCAACCTCCTGTTAGGTAGGCTTTTAGCAGGTCCAAAACACACCCATCCAAAACAATCAATCAAGTACAACAATCAGATGTTTTAGGTCAGGTGGCCAACTTGCTACGCACAGAAACAGCCTGAGGACAACCAAGGTCAAAGTGGTTCAGAAAAATGTTTATAAGCTCAATCATCCAGGTAGATGACAACAAAAAAAGGTTAAATTATGTCATCTGGACCAGTTTCTTTAAGTGAGAAACATTTTGTCTCACATCCAGAGGACTTCCTCAGTCTACAGCCTGCCAACCAGATCTGTCCCATATGTATCCTTTACTGCTGTTTTTCAAGCCAACCTCCTGTTGGAATCTCAAAAGCAGGTTTTTAACACGTGCTAACCACACCCATCCAAAACAATCAATCATCGTAACGAGACAAGACCGAGACCAAATGCAGTCGAGTCCGAGACAAGACCAAGACCATCAAAAAGTGGTCTTGAGACCGGTCTCGAGTACTACAACACAACCACACACCTAGAGAAATGATTTCAGGTTATCAAAATAGGAAAATGTAGATTCACGTACGCGCTGAAATGCAATCGTAAGAGGGTGTATCAAACCTCTAGAGTAATAGTATCTGAAATAGGATGCAAGAGCTACATTGACCTTTGGCAAGTTTTACCTGATTTTGGGAATCACCTAGTTAGTACTAAATTACTATTTTATTTGTTAAAAATTATCATTGATTTTTTTTTGTATAGATCTATAAGAATGTCAGCAAACAAGAAGACAAGAAGTTTGACAGAACGTTATTTAAAATCGATTCTTGTGTAAGTTGTTTTCTTATGTGTCGACACAACTCTGGTTCATCCCTTGAGTTTAGAAGCCTTTCTTCTGTTTTAATGATTCAGAGAACAGGGTTGGGGTTTTGGTGGGATTTTATCTTGATGAGAGATACTCAAGAGTTTGGTGAGGGGACCAGAGGAAGCTGTGCTCAACTCCAGATCAGGTCCATCCTTGGGGACATCGTTCTCCATTTTCTTGGGTTTAAGTTGGTTGTGGTCTGTACTTGGTACTTGGACAACAGGGTCAGGGTTAGGATGGAGGGTAGTATTATTTATTAATTTACCTTTAAATAAACCACATTGAGATCATAGATAAGCCTGAGCGCTCCTTACATGTTTTTGGACAGTGGGAGGAAACTGGAGTACCCGGAGAAAACCCACTCAGCACAAGGAGAAAGAGAAAACTCCAGAAAGACCCAGGTCCAAACCGGGGATTGAACCCAGGCCCTTCTTGCTGTGAGGTAACAGTGCTAAACCACCGTGCTGGTATCCAGAGAGAGAGAGACAGAGAAAGATATATGGAGGAGTCTAAGTTCTAGGGTTTGGATATGTGGGATAACGTGGAATAATGTTGAGTTTAGAGATTGATTCACTAAGAAATATATTAATATTGACGTTAAGTTTAGGGTTGGGTTAGTCATAGATGTGTATTAGTATTGAAGTTATCATTTACAGGGAAAGTTGATAGAGTCTGGAACGTTTAGGGCTTCTGGGTTAGGGTGACTTTACAAGGAAACAAATAAAAATGCATCTATAAATTGGTTATAAACTTGCCTAATATGCAATTAAAAAGCAGCCAAAGTCAAAAAAAAAAGAAAAACTTTGAGAAAACCTAAAGAAATGTTTTTCAAGTTCACCATATTGACCCCAGGTATTGACTTGCTTTTCCATCCTAACTCAACTTGACCACTAGAGGGCAGACGAGAGCAATCTCCAACACTTGTTCACATAAACTCAGATTATTTTCTCACACATTAAAAGCAGAAGAAGAAAAGAAACTGACATCCTCTGACTCTGCAGTCAAGTTCTGTGTTGGCCTGCCAGCTAGTTCTCATGTAAACCATGTGGAAGCCAGTCATAACTTCCTGTTTTCACCAACAACCATGCAAAAAAATAATGCCGGGACGAGATGCACACTTCCACAAAAACACACACATATGTAAACATACTGGTGCTGACCCAAACCAGGCCTAAATGAACGTTGCCAGTTCCTCTCATGTGGTCTCTCTGTGACGCTGGCTGGTCTGAGCGCTTCGGCAGTTTCTCTTCACAGCTGCGCGCCATTCCCCGGCCTGATGAAAGGCCGCCTGTCTGTCAGCGAGGGGACAAAGGCAGAGACATCTCACCACATATGTAATTAAGACTGCATCACGGGCGTTATGGATCATCAGGGGGAAATCAACAACTCCTTCATTGTAATCTGTCCATCCCAGAGTAAGAAAGTCGGCAGAGAAAACCACAGACTGCAGAATGTCTGTTGCAAAAGGAAACAATAGATGCGAAACACATTGGATTTAATTCAAAATAGTCTTTTTATTTAATCGTTGCAACATATTCGATTGATATGTACATGTTTTTTAGAAGCTGCATACAGACGACAGGGGTGGGATTGATCAGTATAGTGAACCCCAGGCAGACAGACTTGATTGGCTTCAACATAAAACAGCTTTCTTTCAGAGAACATCCACCTTTTTTCAGAACAAATGCACAACAAGCTCCACAGATGGCTATTTGGATTATTGACCAAAATACACTTGTGTTTTTTTAATTTTCTGCTGGTAAGCAAACAGTGATAAGGAGAAGTTCGGAGCAGCAGGGGAAAGGAGGTTATCAGAACTAAAGTCCTTGACGTCTCAATGCAACCACAACATGGTGTCATGTGCACGGTTCTTCCTCCATCTTGCAGTCTGTGTCTGGTCCAGCTTACAGCTCACAGAGCTGACTGTGGCAGCAAACCATCTTTTGTGCAAAAGATTGAAATGAGTGGGTTTCAGAGCACAGAGGTGTGTTTGGTCTGAAAGAGCTTCAGTGGAGATAAATTACACAAATGAGCTATTATTAAAAATAAAAGATTAGCTGAATGTGACATCACCAGCACGCAGACGTTCAGCATGAGCTCAAACTGTCACATGAAAATGAAACTCAAATTGTAACATCGCCAGTCTTATTTATATGCTAGGTCCCAACTACAGCAGGGCTGCCGTGAACATTTGGCCAGTAATCAGCAAATCGCATGATTTAAAACAGCAATAAAACAGCACAATGAAGCGCTTTCTCTTTGTAAATGGACTTGAAGGTCAAAATAACTGTCGTTTTTTTCAAACAGTTGAAATGTATTTGCATATTGCAGCTAGACCTGTCACGATAACAAATTTTACTGGGCGATTAATTGTCTCAGAAATTATTGCGATAAACGATAATATTGTTTGAACTTATTGTCAAATATAAGACATTTTGGTTGCTTTGAGCGCAGTACCTTTTTTGGACCACTGGATGGAAGTATAAGACTGTTTGAACCGAAGGATGGATAGTGAGGGAGCGAACAGCGTGTCTCTTTAAGAAAAATGGGAGGGAGGCCCCTTGACATGACATGGGCTGTCTCTCTTCGGTTCTTAAAATGGCAGACGCTCGGTGTGGTTTGAGCTCTTTAGCATAGCATTTGTCACACAAAGTTTCTAATTTAAAAAAAATCAGTAAACAAGTTCTCAGCTCCTTTTTGCAGAGAAAAACAACTTTTTACACAAAGGCACAGGTTTCAACTGTGAATTTTGCAGCTTCGACAAGACGGAGGTTTTTTCCCCCGAGGTTTACCTGTTAGCTTAGCTTGTAGCTTAGCTTCTCAGCTTAGCTGTTTTTAACCATCCAAAAATGTGATTTTGGACGTTAAGACAGATTTTAAAGAGAAAGGGAGGGGTCAGTGAAGAGAACCGGAGTTGAACCTTTTGTCATCCAGTGTCTTCAGTAGAAAGAGAGACACGGTTGATAATTTTCATTTATCATGAGATTAATTGATTTATTGATTATCGCGACAGGTCTAATTGCAGCAACTTTGACCTTGTTTTAAAGGACACTTTTTATGATAAGGCTCATCAGTATAGAGATACTTTGAATGCATGAATACTGCCTTTAGACTGCTGAAATATATTAAAACTAGATTCAGAACCAGAATCCAGAAGCTGAAGGCAGGAAGACACCCCTCTAATGGTAGGCAAAGGTTTAAGCCCCGCCCCTCCATAAACAAAAAGCCATTTTCCCAACTAAAAAAATACAAATACACTTCCAGTTTTTTTATTCAGCCATTTCATTAAAAATATATATTTTTTTTATGGTATTCTGAACTTGTGTGTTCAAAAATGAATTTGTTTAAATACAGAGAGGTTTAATGACTTCTCTGAGGCTTTAATAAAGTGACATGTGACACTGTGATTGACAAAGTGACAGCCTGTTAGCTGGTTTGGAGATGTGTAGGTGCGGTGGGAGTTTGTCATCAATGATTCAGCACTAAATACGATATTTATTGTCAAACTCTGACTTCAAAAATCTAATATGGCAACGACCCAAAACTGACTTTTTTGTATAATGGAGTCACTTCAAATGAACCAACAACAGGCAAAGAGCATAAAAAAATAAAAACTTTAGGGAAAGTTATTTTATCGTCTTGTCTTTGAAGGATTAATTTAAAATCTGCTTCCTTAAAATCCTAAATTGTGTGCCTCGTGCCTGCTGTTGGTGACGTCACAAATGAATCGGATGAATATCATTTTGTCTTTCAGAAATCACGCTTTAAAAAAAATACATAAAACCATTAATCACAAACACAACTTCTGGTAAAAACAAAACAGAATTTGCCTTTCAAATGATTTAAAACAATTATAAAACGTCCCTTTTCTTCATGAAAGTCCACACATTAAAACATCATGACATTAATGAAACCTGGAATAAAATAACTTACCAAATGCATAGCATTTTTTCTTCGACATCAACTGCACATGTGGTGCAATAAAAACGTAATCAACAAAGTGTATGTACATTGTAAAACAGCTTTTTTACTCAAAATGTGGTGGTAGTGTAAAAAAGCTCCTGTAAAACACATCTTGATGTTTTTTTCTTGTAAAAAATGATTCAGTCAGATTGTACAAAGTCAAAAAAAAGTAATTTTCAGCCACAAAAACATTAAAGGTTTCTCCACATAGTGGATATTTGATATGGAAGTATTGGAAAAATTAGATATGTATTCATGTTTACTTTTTAAGATCCAGTTGAAGTTTCCATGCTGCGATGCAGACTTGTGCTTTTTCAGTATGAACTCCAGTTTCACATCCAATTCTCAGCATAATTACTCATCGCTGTCTGAGCAAATGAGGGCTACTTTCTGAGAAAGGCTTGCAGCTTTCCAGTAAAAATAAATCTAATGCAAGAAAAAAATAATAATAATTTGGGGTTCATACTGGAACCTAGCTATTGCTTTTGGAATTGATCTCAGTCCTGACATTAAACAGCCTCTTTTTCTTTGTTCACTTTACCAGTAGCCTCTCCTGCATCATTTCTTGGACTGGTAATGTCTCTTCTCGCAAGGCGCTCTGGGTAATGCAGTTCCTTTGTGATCTCAGGCTGCTCTGAAAAAACGGAGCCGTCTCGCTGGCCTCCTCCTGGACGGGACTTCCGAAGTCACTGTCCTGCGCGCCCTCGTCACTGCTGCCGGACACCTGGCTGATGTAGACAACGACGACGTCGCCTGTAACGTTCATCACTTGACCGCTGGAGATGTACGTGGTGTTGTGGTGCCCAGAAACCAGACCTAAAGAACACAAAGGTTTTGAGATGAGAAATTAATTTAGTCAGAGGTAGAAAAGTTAAAAAAAAAAAAAAAAAAAAGTGAAATATTTGTGATATTTTTTTTTAAATTCTCTGATTTCTGAGTTTCTCAAGGATCAGGTCTTTGTTAGTGGTTTTGTTTTGTATTACACTCTGTTTGTGGTTCATTAATTTGAGTTTATGTGCTGGTCGTAAACTTTTGATTGTCCTCAACAGTTCCTGGTTCCAGCTCCTGGTTTTCATTAGTAATGAGCACACCTGTTTTCAATTACCCTTCCCAATTTATGTCCAGGAACAACTTCCTGTTAATTCCTTTTCATTCAGTTAATCGATGATGGGAATTATCATAGACATGAATAGGTAGACGCTTCGTTGAGCAGGCCCACTGCAGCGGTACATCAGAGCGTCCGCCATATTGGATGTGGCAGATCTGCCGGTCAACTAATTAAGGAAATGGACTGTTTGAGTGTTTACAACTACTAATGTGTGTAACACTGTTACTGTACTGATAATATAGAAATATTCATATTTAACATTTAATCTGTGTCTATAATAACCAGATCCTGAAATGAAGATGTCATGTGTGGATTTTCTGAATCTAACGTCCACATTTAACTGATTTTGATTGATCGTTTTTATATTCACATCGATGAACATATATATACACCACAGAGGGTATTAATTAACTTACATACATTATACACATGCACAGTGTGTGCGTATA